ATGGATGCATTCGTATGCCAGCTGCACCCATATTTGAAACGTCAGACATGCATTATTTTATGGTTTTCTTTCGATAATTGACATATCAGATTGCTCTTTTTGAAAAGAATACTTATATGATGTTTTAAATATGGGTTATGTTAGGATGCTCACACTATGAAATAATTTGTCATTGTGCTGAATAAATTTAGATACTTATATATCTTTGTTTTGTACATGTAGCTTTTTTTAGTAGGGGTATTTTTTATTATTAGTAGGGACGTGACTTCATCTATATAGGTTGTGCCATCATCCACATAGAGCATTAAATGTCATTAGTGTACTTTATGAAGGTGATGTTGCACCTCATGTGGAGGACGTCACACCCCTCTTAATTATAAAAAATATTTATTAAAAAATACTCCATGTACAAAAAAGGGTAGACGTGTCCAAAATTTGTTGAATACAATGATAAATTGCGCCATAGTGTGAGCACCCTAACATAACCCTTCAAATGTTAGACCTGTTTTTTGTCATATGAAGAAGTTCGATATCGGCAATATCAGATTGTGTATTGAAAAAAATGTGCTTAATTGCAGTACGATATAACAAATATTGGACTACTTAGAACTTACAAAAACGAATTCGTACTGAGGAGCTGTCTGATATTTGAGATATCAAATTAGACCAATGTGACCTTAATATCTAATTTTACCACAGTCCGATGTTTCTAACATCGGACCAACCTAAGAATTGGGCAGTTCGGTATCTTAAACTTCTAGGAGCCCTAAAATATAACAAAATTGAAAAAAAAAAAATATGGGGTAAAATCGAAATAGTAAAATCTTAAGAAAAAGGAACCTCATTGACTATCTTTTTTGCTTTTTTTGGTGGTCCAAGGCCAAAGTGGTGTGCTTGCATGTTTTAATTAACACTTGAAGGATAAATGACTTTGTCACTTTTGTTGGACTAAGAATTGGGAACCTTTTTTTTTTTTTTTGTATACTTTTCTCATCTCATGTTTCATATTACATTGAATTTTCCTTATTGTAAAACTGGATCCAGAAATGTGAACAATATGTTGATAACGCGGCTAAGCGAATCAAATCGGCAGAGTAGGTCAAGATATTATGATTTAAATACCAAATTTATAAATTCCAAGTACCATATCAATATATTTCAAAAATAATATTTTTGCAACATTACATTCTAAGTTCAATTCCTATCAAGGGTATGGACCTTCTCCCCCATCGACTCTCAAAAAAAAAAAAAAAAGGCAAAAATGCTGTTGAATATCCTTATGATACTCTCGGTTGCTGCAAACGCGCAAAACAACCTCTCTTCAATGTTTAGTTTAGAAAAGGATTTGATCCCAAGACTTTTTACTGAATGATCTTCTTCTCTTCAATGTTTAGTTGAGTAGAGGATTTGATCCCTTCTCTTCAATGTTTAGTTGAGTAGAGGATTTGATCTGTTTAGTTGAATAGATGATTTGATCCCAAGACTTTTTACTGAATGATCTTCGATGATCTTCGATGATCTTCTTCTCTGTAATGTTTAGTTGAGTAGAGGATTTGATCATTCTCTTCAATGTTTAGTTGAGTAGAGGACTTGATCCCAAGACTTTTTACTGAATGATATTCTTCTCTTCAATGTTTAGTTGAGTAGAGGATTTGATCCCAAAATCTTTTACTGAATGATCTTCAATGATCTTCTTCTCTTCAATGTTTAGTTGAGTAGAATGTTTAGTTGAGTAGAGGATTTGATCTGTTTAGTAGAGTAGAGAATTTCATCCTAAGACTTTAACTGAATGATCTTTTTCTCTTCAATGTTAATGTTTAGTTGAGTAGAAGATTTAATCCCTTCTTTTCAATGTTTAGTTGAGTAGAGGATTTGATCCATTCTCTTCAATGTTTAGTTGAGTAGAGGATTTGATCGAAAGACTTTTTACTGAATGATCTTCAATGATCTTATTCTCTTCAATGTTTAGTTGTTGAGTAGAGGATTTG